GTGCACACGAGAAATGTTGTTTTTCACGCCTAAATGATCTTCGGTGTTTACGCTGTCCTGACAATAGTTCAACGCGTGCTCAACTTCCTGCGCATGAACCCTACCTAGCCATGGGCAGGCGCTAAAAAAAAATAAAAGCCAGGCCTGCCATAGCCACGTAGTCATGCCATGACTTGCCTGAAATAAAATACGACGGAGATGAACGGTACTTTTGCGGCCCCTCCTCCATCCATTCCCTCATCGCTGGACAAGTAAAATAAATAAATAACCGTCGCCTTCGCGTGATTCCGTTTTGTGACACGAACAGCTGAGCTGGCTTCGAGTACGGCATGCCAAACTAGTCCTGGCGTGAGATCTGCTTTTCAACATATATTCCCAGGGGCACGGCCGGTCACGCTGTTTCAAGACTTCTGTTTACGTCCGTTTGGATTTTTTTTTACGTGCGTCACGCATCGCAGAGAGGGGGGCCCGGGAGAGTGTGGGGCAGGAGGGGGGGCATAGATGGCCCAGCTAAGAGAAGGGACCTGAGATTGGCCCGTGAATATTAGCTGCCGGTTATGGGCCGTTCCCTTTAGATGTCCCTCTTTAAACCTCCCCCCTCCATCCCACCCACCCCGCTGTCACTCGAAACCCTTGGCACGCACCATCGGATGAAAGGTCCAGATATTTTTGGATACCGTCAAAAAAAATAAAATAAACAAGAAGCAGCTGTCATTTCTTGCCCGTACGCCGCCGTCAATGTCTGCCGTGTTTCGCATAGCTGGAGGCGGCTCGCGTTGGCACGGACATCTCTGGCAGAGTGTTTCCTTGCATCGCCTTGGCCGCAGCTCGTCTGCGTTGCACAACTCCTGACGGGTTATGTTTTGGAACAGCTGTTTGGATCGCGGATTCGTGTTCTCTCTGCAGCCGGGGCGGCTGCTTCGCGTGCACGGGTTATTGCTTTGTCCTCTCTGCAGATCGCTGCTCGCGCACATGGCCTCTGCGAAAGCCATACTGAACTAGGGCAAATGTATAGTTTGAATGCATTTTTTACATTTAATCACGCCTTTGTATCTACCGCCGAGGTGCAAAAAGGCAGGACAATTATGGAAAGAATATCTGGTAAAACGTGGAGGGAAGGGCTACGCTACATACACTGCACTTCTGATTAACACGGTTAGCTACGTACGGTGTGAAAGAAGTTCAACATACATTACATACAAAAGCATTGTCTTGTGTGGCACATTATGACGAAAACCCACGCTCTTATTTTTTTTTATTATTATTATTTTTATTTGACCAGGGAAGGCTCCACTGAGCTCTATAGCTCTTTTTCAGAAGCGACTTCGCCATCACAAATTATAGTTCAGCGAAGTGGTTTATGTGGAAATTTATCGCAGCCAAATACTCTGAACGCATGTTGCTAAATGTGGAGGTAAAAACTCGGTGGGCTCGTAAAAAATCCACACGACCACGAGGAGACAGACACCGCAAACTCCAAATATACAGCAGCAGGCGTCCGGTTCAGGATCGAACCCACGACCTCATGTATACCAGGCGAGGTATTTAACATCTCCCAGCCACCGTGATTATGATGATGAGAGAGAGACAGACACCGCAAACTCCAAATATAAAGCAGGCGTCCGGTTCAGGATCGAACCCACGACCTCCTGTATACCAGGCGAGGTATTTAACATCTCCCAGCCACCGTGATTATGATGATGAGAGAGAGAGACACCGCAAACTCCAATATACAGCAAGCGTCAGGACCGGGATCGAATCCATGCACTCCTGTGTACCGGGCGAGGGAGTTAACATCTCGCCACCTAATGTCCAGGGGGGACTTGCACCTTTTTCCAGGACGGCGTTCCTCAACGAACACGATGATCCTGTGAGATGGCCAGGGCAGGTGGGAACTCTCCACGCGGTATATCTCAAGCTGTCGGAACAAGGGGGAGGGGGTGGTATTTGAGATTATTATTCCGAAGGAAAGTCTTCGCTGCGTCTCCTTACCAACCTATAGGTCTTTCCCCCCCAATAGTCTGCACAGGCCGCCACTTCTGGTGTTGACATTGCCAAGTCTTGAGGAGTGGCATTGTGGTGCTGCGGGGCATCTTGGGAGATGATCCACGTGGTCTGCTTCTTCTAACAAGCACATTGGTCGGTTGTGTTGAAGTTTTTTCCCCCATGATTTCTTGAGAGAGTTGCATCTGCCGAGACCCACTCTCAGTCTGTTTAGGCTGCGCCACGTGAGAAAAGCGACTGCAGGCCGAATGCAATGGTTCAATAACAACGCTGTATCAACAACATAGGTACAGTAGTCTCGATTATCCGTGTGCGGTTTATCCGATTTGCGGATTAATTGCGCACCTGAGATTTTGACCTGAATTAATAACTCATTGATGTTCCCTTAAGCCCAAATTAATAATCTTAAAAACAGTTCTACATTGTTTTTGTTGGAAATGTGTATTACCAGTCACGTGCTTAAACCGAACAAATATGTTGCTCCGGTTGATGCGAAATCCACCAGGCGATGGCTGCATCCACCAGGCCCGTGGGCCCATTTCGAGACCCAACGTCTCGACGCCGAAGCGAATCGCCGCCCCGAAAGAGAAAGGAAAAGGAAGCCGACCCGGCACTGCGGATTCCACTTCCACCTGGGACCACCGCGTGGTGCCTCCAATGCCCCGAAGATCTGCGGATCCAGAATTGGACTCCTCGGCCACCTCAAGAGCCACCAGCAAACCTGATGGGCGTCATCCTCAAACTCCGAGGGACTGCCAACGACGACTGTTGGATAGTTCGGGTTAAGGGTAGCGACATAAATTTCGATTTAAAGCTTTCGTGACTGCAGGGATTTATCTTCTTGGTTCTTTCGGTAAAGTCACGTAGAAGGGAAGTAATAAAATGATAAAAATAAAACATAATAAAATGAAACCCCCCGCCCACCTCCTACGCATTTACCATAAATATGCTAAATTCCTCTTGATATGCAAATTCTTTTGTCAAGGCGCTCTTCTTCCCCCCTCCAACCCAGCTTAAATATACGCTCCAAGCTTGGTGGTGTTTCATTCTTCACCTGAGGACGGCTGCTTGCGTTGTGGCCGAAACGTCGTGAGCATTATTTTATTATGTTTTATTTTTATTATTTTATTACTTCCCTTCTACGTGACTGTACCGAAAGAACCAAGAAGAAGGTAGCGACATAATTTGGTTGGCTCGTGTGCCAAGGACAGGGATAGAGTTGATGATTAACGACGGCCGTTTTTTTTTGGGTGGGGAGGGGAGAGTTAGATGAAAGTTATTATTTTAGATAACGTGGATAGAATCTGAGGTAGGGGCTTGTGTTAGTGTCTGAAGTTTTTTTTAGGGTTAGTGATAAGCCTAAAAGGCCGTGTGGCTGATGAGATGTGTTAAAGTTTTTCACCCCGCGTTTAGAAATTTGCGTTTAGAGTATGGCTGCAATAAAATTCCACGTGATAAGCTACTTCGTTGAGCTATTATTTATAATTCGAGATTTGAAGCTTTCGTGACTGCAAGGATTCATACTCTTAGGTTTTTTCGGTAAAGTGACTTTATACTAAATTTCGATTTAAAGCTTTCGTGACTGCAGGGATTCATCTTCTTGGTTTTTTCGGCAAAGTCACGTCGCCTCGACAGACCTGTTCTTCACCTGAGGATGGCTGCTTGCGTTGTGGCCGAAACTTCGTGAGAATTATTTTAGTATGTTTTATTTTTATTATTTTATTCCCTTCTACGTGACTTTACCGAAAGAACCAAGAAGACTTTATACTAGTCTTTGTTTTTTCGGTAAAGTGACTTTTCCAAAAAAACTAAAGACTAGTATTTATAGTCAGGTTGGTTCTGAAAGAGAGCTATGTAGTTCAGTGAGCCTCACTTGGTAATATTAATAAAAATTGCTTATAGTTTAGTTTATAATGAAGCGTATGCTCTGCTTATGTGTTACTTATATTCTCCACAATGACGCTCCATGATAATCGTTTGCTAATATATGAGCGCACGTGGTTAGGATTAAGCGGCAGGGCTATATAGTGCATGTTCTGTTTGGATATAGTATGCTACAACCAGCACTTTAAATAGATAACCTTTATCACCATGCAGGTGGAAGCCAATCGAGACCGGCATTCCAATTCACTACCATTGCCATGTAAGGGCGTTACACCCGTTCGTTATTGTCTCACTCTGAGTCATTTCGAATCTCCCTTCGCATCTTATTTCAAGCAATAAAATCGCTGTGCGTTGGACTTCTTTGGCACCGTACGTAGCCGCGTTTTATCCACTGCTGGATGAAAGCTTCGTTCTACAAAGTTGCAAACCTGGACATGAGCTCAGTTCAAAACGTTCATCAATAACGCTGCCTTGAATTTCATGGGTAAAGTCTACAATAGGCAACGTTTGGGGCAAGGTCCACTATGAATTTTTTTTTTCAAACGACCTGGACACAAATGACGGCTCAACAAAGTTGCCCATCATTTGGACATTTGTAGCACAACGAGGAATGACGTCATTTCGCTAAAAACAAAATCGTTCCCGAACCGCGGTTTGACGTCATCCAGAAAATGTAATTCGTTCAAAAATGATAATAATAATTCCATTGACAAAAGCGCTTTTAAATTAGGATCTCAAAGCCCTGTACAGGTCACAGCAGCAGCAGAAGACAATCAGCATTAAAATAATTTATAATTCCATTTACTAAATTAACTAAAAGTTTAATTATCGGAAGCTGATTATTCCATGCAGCGGCGTGACACCATCAAGGAGGGGGGGGTGATGGGGGGGAACCTTGACAATGACGTCATACACAAACAAATTAAATTATTGCCCCCTCGTGCAGCGACATGATGTCATCGCCGCGCACCTGCGGGATGACGTCACTGCGGCGCTTGCCTTCGGGGTGCGTGGGAGCCTGGGCGGGGGGGGGGGGGTGATGACGTCATGTTCGCAGCGGGTGCCTGCCGTCGTGACGTCACGCCTCCATACATTCACACGTGAGCTGGGGCCGGGAGCAAGCGCATCAGCACTGCTCCTGCCGCCTTATGTACGTGACGTGTACACACGCGCACATGTATACACACACACACGCGTACACACATACATATACATACACACACACGTATACACACACACGCGTACACACACACACATACACGCGTACACACACATACACGCGTACACACACATACACGCGTACACACACACGTACACACACACACGCGTACACACACACGCGTACACGTATACACACACACGCGTACACACACATACACATACATACACACACGTATACACACACACGCGTACACACACACACACATACACGCGTACACACACATACACGCGTACACACACACACACGCGTACACACACACACGCGTACACACACACACGCGTACACGTATACACACACACGCGTACACACACGCGTACACACGTACACACACACGCGTACACACACGCGTACACACACGTACGCATGCATGTACACACATACACACACGTATACACATACACACACGCGTACACACACACACACGCGTACACACGTACGCATGCATGTACACACGTACACATGTACACACGTACGCACGTACACACGCACGCGTACACACACACGTACACACACACACGTACATACATGCGTACACACACACGTGCACGCACGTATACATTGTACACATACGTGTATATTGCACACACACGTACACGTTGTACACACACGCACACACGTGTATATTGCACACACACACGTACACACACACACGTACACATTGTACACACACACGTGTATATTGTACACACACGCACACACCTACCTATACGTTGTACATACACACACACACGTATACGTTGTATACACACGCATACGTTGTACATATGTGTACATTACGTACACACTGCACGTACGTACGCACGTGTATATTGCAAACACATGCAAACACATGTGCACACTGTACACACACGTGTACACATGCATTCGGACGTGTACATTACACAAACATGACACTGCACACGCGTACACCACACGTGTATATTATGCAAACACGTGGACGTTATACACACGCACAGTATAAATGTGTACACACGTATACTTGAATCGCATTGTACACACATGTATGAATCGCCTCACATGCACACGTATGTGCATAAACACACGTATGTAGACATTACATGTGAGTATACACACGTGTACTCATCTTCACCAAATATACACGGTGTACGCATACGCACGGTTTTTTTATTCGTGGAAGCGTGTTTAAATCACATTATATACAAAACACAGGCATACACACGGATACAATATACACACACACGCGAATATACCCCCGTAGTATGTACATTAATCACATGCACACGTGTGCACACGTATGTGAACACGTGGACATATACGTATGCATACGTGGAAATCATTGCATTGCGTACACACACACACGTGTGTACAATACACACACACACGTGTGTACAAGACACACACACACGTGTACCACACACACACGTGTACAATACAGACACACACACACGTGTACAACACACACACGTGTACAATACAGACACACACACACGTGTACCACACACACGTGTACAAGACACACACGTGTACAAGACACACACGTGTACAAGACACACACGTGTACAACACACACGTGTACAACACACACACACACACACGTGTACAACACACACGTGTACAACACACACGTGTACCACACACGTGTACAATGCACACACACACACGTGTACAATGCACACACACACACACGTGTACAGACACACACACGTGTACACACACACACGCGTGTAAGACACACAGACACACGTGTACAGACACACACACACGTGTACAGACACACACACAGACACGTACCATACACACACACATCATGATGTCGCCGCACACGCTATGCACGCGTGTAAATAGATTACATCGCATTGTGTACACAAAAAACAAAAGATCCCCCGTGTAGCCTCTAACAGGCTGTAGGGGCAAGTGCTGTTCGCGAGTAGCATCAATGAAGGCCGACAAAGCACACGAGGGGGTGGGTGGCCAGCACCACGCCCGACCGCCTTTGTTTCCCCAGTGGCGATGTTTACACACCACTGCATCAGGTACTCATGTGAGGCTGAGTCAACCCAGGGGAGGCCCAGGACCGGTTCAGATAATCGTCACTGTGGTGTTGGCCGTGAGCGGGAATCGAACTCGAAGTGTCAGGGTTCGTAGCGCAGCGCGCTAACCGCTGCACCACCGCTCCTCACGCACGTGTAAACATTGTATGTGTGTATATATACACGTACACACACGTACACACACGTACACGGTACACTAGTTAGGTGATGGTCTAAGTCCGGTCGCCAGTGATTGCACAAAAAACGTCGCGTTAAATGTGTCTGTGCGTTTTTTGAGTCGCCTAGGGAATATTTTGGTTAAATTCCGAATGAGAATTAAAAAAATTTAAAACATCAGTTTGCTCTGTGATGAACATGTCTGCCCTAGTTAGCGACTCGGACCGGTATCCTAACGAGAAGATCAATCATTACCCGTGAATTGGTGTCAAGCAAAGGGCCAACTCTTCTGTACTTGCGTATGGCCAAATGTTCCACAGATGACTACCCATATCGAGGTCTTTGCTGCTTACTGTTCACGACGAGAGGGCTTCAGCGGACAAAGAGAGAGTTCGTGTCGTGTCGCTGTTCTTCCTCTTGCGTTGAATCAGCGCAGATCACAGTGGGTTTACCGTGCGGTCTATAGTTTGGGTTACATGGCCACAAACACACCACCTTGATTTAAAGCTTTCGTGACTGCAGGGATTCATCTTCTTGGTTCTTTTGGTAAAGTCACGTAGAAGGGAAATAATAAAAATAAAATAATACAATAATTCTCACGACCATTCGGCCACATAATTCTCACGACCCAGGGGAGGCCCAGGACCGGTTCAGATAATCGTCCTGAGGACGGCTGCTTGCGTTGTGGCCGAAACGTCCTCAGGATGGCTGCTTGCGTTGTGGCCGAAACGTCGTGAGAATTATTTTATTATGTTTTATTTTTATTATTTCCCTTCTACGTGACTTTACCGAAAGAACCAAGAAGATGAACACCACCTTGGCTTGAATTTAATGAATCTCGGTGGGTCTCTGAGGCTCTACGTATCTCAATTTGTCCCTGTGTATATCTGTGTATAGCTCTGGCTTGCGTATGGCCTCATGTTCAGCAGATGAATGCAAACGTGGAGGTCTTCTGCTGCTGCTGGATACGACGAGAGGGCTTCAGCAGAGAGAGAGAGAGTTCGTGTCGTGGGTCCATAGTTTGGGGTTGTTTGGCCACAAACGCACCACCTTGGCTTGAATGTAATGTATCGCTATGGGTCTGTGAGTCTCTGTGTATCTCTATGGGTCCATAGTTTGGGGTTGTTTGGCCACAAACGCACCACCTTGGCTTGAATGTAATGTATCGCTATGGGTCTGTGAGTCTCTGTGTATCTCTATGGGTCCATAGTTTGGGGATGTTTGGCCACAAACGCACCACCTTGGCTTGAATGTAATGTATCGCTATGGGTCTGTGAGTCTCTTTGTATCTCTATGGGTCCATAGTTTGGGGTTGTTTGGCCACAAACGCACCACCTTGGCTTGAATGTAATGTATCGCTATGGGTCTGTGAGTCTCTGTGTATCTCTATGGGTCCATAGTTTGGGGTTGTTTGGCCACAAACGCACCACCTTGGCTTGAATGTAATGTATCGCTATGGGTCTGTGATTCTCTGTGTATCTCTATGGGTCCATAGTTTGGGGTTGTTTGGCCACAAACGCACCACCTTGGCTTGAATGTAATGTATCGCTATGGGTCTGTGAGTCTCTGTGTATCTCTATGGGTCCATAGTTTGGGGTTGTTTGGCCACAAACGCACCACCTTGGCTTGAATGTAATGTATCGCTATGGGTCTGTGAGTCTCTGTGTATCTCTATGGGTCCATAGTTTGGGGTTGTTTGGCCACAAACGCACCACCTTGGCTTGAATGTAATGTATCGCTATGGGTCTGTGAGTCTCTGTGTATCTCTATGGGTCCATAGTTTGGGGTTGTTTGGCCACAAACACACCACCTTGGCTTGAATGTAATGTATCGCTATGGGTCTGTGAGTCTCTGTGTATCTCTATGGGTCCATAGTTTGGGGTTGTTTGGCCACAAACGCACCACCTTGGCTTGAATGTAATGTATCGCTATGGGTCTGTGAGTCTCTGTGTATCTCTATGGGTCCATAGTTTGGGGATGTTTGGCCACAAACGCACCACCTTGGCTTGAATGTAATGTATCGCTATGGGTCTGTGAGTCTCTGTGTATCTCTATGGGTCCATAGTTTGGGGTTGTTTGGCCACAAACGCACCACCTTGGCTTGAATGTAATGTATCGCTATGGGTCTGTGAGTCTCTGTGTATCTCTATGGGTCCATAGTTTGGGGTTGTTTGGCCACAAACGCACCACCTTGGCTTGAATGTAATGTATCGCTATGGGTCTGTGAGTCTCTGTGTATCTCTATGGGTCCATAGTTTGGGGTTGTTTGGCCACAAACGCACCACCTTGGCTTGAATGTAATGTATCGCTATGGGTCTGTGAGTCTCTGTGTATCTCTATGGGTCCATAGTTTGGGGATGTTTGGCCACAAACGCACCACCTTGGCTTGAATGTAATGTATCGCTATGGGTCTGTGAGTCTCTGTGTATCTCTATGGGTCCATAGTTTGGTTTGAATGGCCATAATCGCACCCCTGTGGCTTGTCTATAATGTATCTCTATATGTCTCTACATCTATGAGTCTGTATCTCAATTTTTCTCTGTAGATCTATGGATAGCTCTGGATTGCGTTTGGCCACATGTTCAGCAGATGAATTCCAACGTGGAGGTCTTCTGCTGCTGCTGGATACGACGAGAGGGCTTCAGCAGAGAGTGAGAGAGAGTTTGTGTCGTATCGCCGTTCCTCCTCCGTTGAAGCAGCGCAGACCACAGTGGGTTTAGTAATAGGTTTTTACCCTTTCAACTGGTATTAAAACTGACA